GAGCGCTTACGCAACTCATCCTGATGACGTCACCTCCAATGTCACCGTGTCATCTGAGCTGCAGCATCTTTCTGTTCGTGATTTTCACTCTGACCGATCGGACTAACGGTGAAACCTTTACCGGTGTTCTGGTCCAGACCGGAGGAGTTCAGGGTCTTCATCAGATCCCCCAGACTCTCCCTGCTCCCGTTCATCTTCCAGTTTCCTCCCACGAAGAACCTCCGCAGCGTCATGGCCGGCTGAGGGGGGCAGAGACCCGGAGAGGAGAGGCGGTGGTCCGGGGGGGGGGGTGCTCGGCTCAGGGTGCAGGAGAGGAGTCCGGGAGGAGGAGTGTACGTCACGGACTGTGGGAAATATCACAACACCGGCAAACGCTGCTGCTGCTGCTGCTGCTGCTGCTGCTGCTGCTGCTTCTTCTTGGTGTTCGTGTTCACGGGAAGTCAAACAGCGTTATGAAGCATTAGCGTCCCCTGCTGGGGAAAATATGCACTGACATCACTCTGGACTGAAAACTTGTATTCCCTACTTTACATAAGGGGGGGGGGCAATCTTTAGTGTGTATAAGGATGTATTAGATTGAAATAGTTTGGTCCATCTCTTTATTGATTCACTGAATTTGGACACTAGGTGGTAATAATCAATTGTGTGGGTTGAATGTTCAGGTGGTGTGGTTGAGTGTTTATAGGTCACAGGTGAACAGGAACTTGGCCGTGTAGGTGGCGGGAACTCTGCAACCATCGACCATCGCTTCATATCATTGTCACGGTTTGTCTGCAGTAAGCGAGAAACACGTCACCCGATGTCATTTCATTTGTTTATTTCAGGATAAAAACCTTTCCTGACACCTGTGCAGGTGACTTAAAGTCTGAGTGGAACATGTGACAGACACTAGATACCTTCTGTATCTCAAAGTGAGGACGTCACCAAGCCCAGGAGATTCAGAGGTGTGTTACATATAAGAACACATCATGAGTGGGGACGGAAAAATGAAATCGATTTAAGAGGGTGCTCCGCTCAGTAGCTCTTTAAAATGTCTGACCTCTGACCCCTAGTGTTTAAAACGGGTACTGCAGTCTAAATTCTAAACCTCATAGAGAGCTGTCCCCCCCCTCCTCTCTAGAGTGGATGCTCACTCAGGTCACCATGTGGTGGACTCTGAAGCTTCAGTGTTTATCCAGCTCTGCATGGGTCTGTAAACCTTTCTGTGTTCTAACCTCTCTCCATTTTTCAAAAGCATCTCCAATATTGATCCTAGTTTGAGCACGTTTCTGCTCGTGGAGCTTATTAGAAACATGCAGAGGCTTTTTAGGTCGGGTACAATCACTTCTATCTGAACCACTTCTCTTGACCGCTTCCATCGCTGCAACACCTGTTGACCTGATAACTGCTCTCATATCTGACAAACCGAGGGGCGTCCAAAACGGCCGTGTGGGGGGTCTTAAAAGCGCCTACCTTCTGGTCCAAAACAAATCCAGAGCATTCAGGAGCAGAATGTAAAGTTAGAAGGAGGACATACTGGCTGCTGCATTGTTGTCAGAGAAGCCAGCACTTCAACATAGCATGTTTCTTAATGATCAGAGAGTAAAGATACCTTTATCATCTCACTCTCTACACAGCTCACTGATTGGTCCTTTAATGATCAGAGAGTGAGATACCTTTATCATCTCACTCTCTACACAGCTCACTGATTGGTCCTTTAATGATCAGAGAGTAAGATACCTTTATCATCTCACTCTCTACACAGCTCACTGATTGGTCCTTTAATGATCAGAGAGTGAGATACCTTTATCATCTCACTGATTGGACCTTTAAATCCTCGCTTTGAGAGTGTTCTGCTTTGTGACACATTTTTATTCACCCTGCAGGTTGTGGCCTGCTTCATGTGAAATCCTCTGATGGTGATGTTTGACACACAGAAACAGTCGGGCTCCCACATGGTGTATATGCAGAATTCTATGTTTATTAGAAAGATTGTCAACAAACATTTGGTCTTTTTACAGAGGAACTGCACAAGTGTAAAAGTCCTACAAAATGCAGCTGAGCCCAGGGGAGTAAAATACACTTTACAGGTGTTTACAGAGGGGCGGCCTTTAACCTTCTCTAGTCAGCAGATTCTCACGCTCAGATGGAGGAAACAGCGGCAGCCATCTTGGATCAAAGTCTGCCTGTTGTTAGCAGTGGAACCAAAATGGCAGCTCTACCGTAAACACACATATACTCTGGATGTGTGCGGCCCAAAAATAGAATAAAAATAAAGACACTGTACATGAACTCTCCGAGCTAACATCTTAAACTCTAAAATACAAATCATTTACATATCCATCTAAGTAAGTGCAGGGCTCTTTTACAGGTCAAAGATCTGAAAGAAAATAAAAATAAATCTGTAAAGCTACAGTCTTATTTTCAATATTCACGTCTCCTCTCTCTTTAGTCAAAAATCTAAACGTGTTTTTACGTGACATTCTCAGTAAGAGCTTCTTCTCTGCTCAGTTATCACTTTGAATAATGCGCTATTTTTTATTTTTTTTATCTCTTAGTGTTTAAATCATCTCAACAACAATAAAACTCTCCTGCACATACAGCGGGATGCATCGTGCTCTGTTTACCTGATGCCATTTATACAACGTGACTCACTCGCAGCCTCTCAATATTTGCATACATGACTGAGGAAGAAGAGGAAAGGGAGAGGAAGAGAGGAAGAGCAAACCTATTATCCCCCAACCTCACTCATCTCTCCACTTATTCCCCTATGTGCTCTTCTCCTTCCTATCTTCACCCTTTTCCTCGTCTTCCTCTCCTCCTCCTCCTCCTCCTCCTCCTCTTCCTCCTCCTAGTGTTTTGTTCCTCTGCAGGGACGCCTCAGTTCCACAGTTTGAGGAAGCTGTCCCAGGATCCTGTGCAGACACCCATACCATCCTCAGGGACCCCGGTGCAGCTCACCCTGTTGTCATGGCCAGACAGCACACCTGAGGATAGGAGAGGAAATAAGAGGAGAGGAGAGGAGAGGAGAGGAGAGGAGAGGAGAGGAGAGGAGGAGAGGAGAGGACAGGAGAGGAGAGGAGAGGAAACAAGAAGACAGGAGAGGAGAGGAGGAGGAGAGGAGAGGAAACGAGAGGAGAGGAAACGAGAGGAGAGGAGAGGGCAAAAGGGGACGAAATGCACAAGAAGGGAGGTGAAAGAAGAGAGCATGAAAATGGAAGGAATAAAAGGAAGGTTAAATTTATAAAGAAACATAATTAAGATTTAAGACAAGCAGATGATAAATCATTTTCCAGACTTTGTTCTCGGTTCTCTGTTGGAACCACAGACTATTTATATGAATGTTTGAAGCCTGAGTGTCGTCCCCCATCTGTTCCTGCAGGGGACGCTGGAGTCCCATCGATGGCGGTCTCCATGCTGGAAATGCTGTCTCAGTCTAACTTTCAGTCAACCTAACGACAGGCTGAGAGCTGGAGCTGAGGCGGGTTTTAAACCTCCTGACAAACCGTTACACCGCGCCCACCTGTCAATCAGGTCAGCTACACACCTTATTGTGAATAACTCTTATCCTTCATCAAATCAAAACTGATGAGTCATCAAAACATTCACCCCCCGTACAGTGTGTGTCCATCCAGACATGAGCTAATCACACCTATTTGAACCAGGCTGTAAACATGTTCATCTCTGCTGTAAAAACAGGCTTTTTAGAATGGGTGTGTATGTGACTTCCTGTTTATATCTGCTGGAAATCTCTTCTTCTCTTTGTCATGCAGAAAGCATTCAGGGAGTTTTTATAACGACCACTCTGAGACCTCTCCGGGGTATTAATCACTCCGCCTGCTTCTGATTGGTGCATGGTCTTAAAGGAGAGGCAGACTGGAGTGACTGCTTTATGCATATCTGCGTATTTGTGCCATTACAGGCAGCATGAACCCGTTTATGAATTCTAAATAAAGTTAGTGGCAGATTGAGTTTGTAGTGGAGGGGCTACGTTACAGGTTATATCATTTCAATGTAACTGTTTGTAAACCAACAGTTTCCTCTTTAGTTTCTGAACGGGGAGTCAGTAAACTCCACTCACCGACTTTCTCTCCCTTCAGTGAGTCCCAGATGTGACAGTTGAAGTCGTCGTATCCTGCAAAGATGAGTCGGCCTGAGTTGGACAGAGACAAAGACGTGACGCCGGCGTTCAGGCTGCTGTCCTGGTAGCTGATCACCTCCTGGTCGGAGCGCAGGTCGTACATCTTGCAGCTGCAGTCGTCAGAGCCTGTGACAATGGCGTTTCCATTGGGGAAGTACTAAAGAGGGGAGAGAAGAAGACGACCGTTCATGTTGGAATGTTTAACTGAGGGAAAGAGGTAGTAACAGAGGTAGTAACAGAGGTAGTAACAGAGGTGTAACAGAGGTGTAACAGAGGTAATAACAGAGGTGTAACAGAGGTAGTAACAGAGGTGTAACAGAGGTAGTAACATAAGTAGTAACAGAGGTGTAACAGAGGTGTAACAGAGGTAGTTACAGAGGTGTAACAGAGGTAGTAACAGAGGTGTAACAGAGGTAATAACAGAGGTGTAACAGAGGTAGTAACAGAGGTGTAACAGAGGTAGTAACATAAGTAGTAACAGAGGTGTAACAGAGGTGTAACAGAGGTAGTAACAGAGGTGTAACAGAGGTAGTAACAGAGGTAGTAACAGAGGTAGTAACAGAGGTGTAACAGAGGTAATAACAGAGGTAGTAACAGAGGTGTAACAGAGGTAATAACAGAGGTAGTAACAGAGGTGTAACAGAGGTAATAACAGAGGTAGTAACAGAGGTATAACAGAGGTAGTAACAGAGGTGTAGCAGAGGTAGTAACAGAGGTGTAATAGAGGTAGTAACAGAGGTAGTAACAGGTGTAGCAGAGGTAGTAACAGAGGTGTAACAGAGGTAGTAACAGAGGTGTAACAGAGGTGTAACAGAGGTAGTAACAGAGGTAGTAACAGAGGTGGTAACAGATGTGTAACAGAGGTAGTAACAGAGGTGTAACAGAGGTGTAACAGAGGTAGTAACAGGTGTAACAGAAGTAGAGGTAGTAACAGAGGTGTAACAGAGGTGTAATAGAGGTAGTAACAGGTGTAACAGAAGTAGTGGTAGTAACAGAGGTGTAACAGAGGTGTAATAGAGGTAGTAACAGGTAGTAACAGAGGTAGTGGTAGTAACAGAGGTGTAACAAAGGTGTAACAGAGGTGTAACAGAGGTGTAACAGAGGTAGTAACAGAGGTGTAACAGAGGTAGTAACAGAGGTGTAACAGAGGTGTGACAGAAGTAGAGGTAGTAACAGAGGTGTAACAGAGATGTAATAGAGGTAGTAACAGAGGTAGTAACAGAGGTAGTAACAGAGGTGTAACAGAGGTAGTAATAGAGGTAGTAATAGAGGTAGTAACAGAGGTGTAACAGAGGTAGTAACAGAGGTGTAATAGAGGTAGTAACAGGTAGTAACAGAGGTAGTGGTAGTAACAGAGGTGTAACAGAGGTGTAACAGAGGTAGTAACAGAGGTATAACAGAGGTGTAACAGAGGTAGTAACAGAGGTAGTAACAGAGGTGTAACAGAGGTAGTAACAGAGGTGTAACAGAGGTAGTAACAGAGGTAGTAACAGAGGTGTAACAGAAGTAGAGGTAGTAACAGAGGTGTAACAGAGGTAGTAACAGAGGTGTAACAGAGGTGTAATAGAGGTAGTAACAGAGGTGTAATAGAGGTAGTAACAGAGGTGTAGCAGAGGTAGTAACAGAGGTGTAACAGCGGTGTAACAGAGGTAGTAATAGAGACGTAACAGAGGTAGTAATAGAGGTGTAACAGAGGTGTAACAGAGGTAGTAACAGAGACGTAACAGAGGTAGTAATAGAGGTGTAACAGAGGTGTAACAGAGGTAGTAACAGAGGTAGTAATAGAGGTAGTAACAGAGGTAGTAACAGAGGTGTAACAGAGGTGTAACAGAGGTAGTAACAGAGACGTAACAGAGGTAGTAATAGAGGTGTAACAGAGGTGTAACAGAGGTAGTAACAGAGGTAGTAATAGAGGTAGTAATAGAGGTAGTAACAGAGGTGTAACAGAGGTAGTAACAGAGGTGTAATAGAGGTAGTAACAGAGGTGTAGCAGAGGTAGTAACAGAGGTAGTAACAGAGGTGTAACAGAGGTAGTAACAGAGGTGTAACAGAGGTAGTAACAGAGGTCGTAACAGAGGTGTAACAGAAGTAGGTAGTAACAGAGGTGTAACAGAGGTAGTAACAGAGGTGTAACAGAGGTGTAACAGAGGTAGTAATAGAGGTAGTAATAGAGGTAGTAACAGAGGTGTAATAGAGGTAGTAACAGAGGTAGTAACAGAGGTGTAACAGAGGTAGTAACAGAGGTGTAACAGAGGTGTAACAGAGGTAGTAATAGAGGTAGTAATAGAGGTAGTAACAGAGGTGTAACAGAGGTAGTAACAGAGGTGTAACAGAGGTAGTAACAGAGGTAGTAACAGAGGTGTAACAGAGGTAGTAATAGAGGTAGTAACAGAGGTAGTAACAGAGGTGTAACAGAGGTAGTAAGAGGTGTAACAGAGGTAGTATAGAGGTAGTAACAGAGGTAGTAACAGAGGTAGTAATAGAGGTAGTAACAGAGGTAGTAACAGAGGTGTGTGTGTGTTAGTGTGTGTGTGTGTGTGTGTCTTTGTCGTTGTGTGTGTGTGTGGTTTTGTTGCTCACAGAGATGGCGTTGATGTCACTGGTGTGTCCAGAGAAGGTCTGCTTGCAGGTCCCTTCCCTCAGGTCCCACAACTTGGCCAGAGAGTCGCAGGCTCCGGAGACGAAGGTGTTCATGTCGGCGGACAGAGCAAGAGACATGCAGTCCCCGATGTGGTTGGTGAAGATGATCTTCTGCTTCCCGGTCTCCAGATCCCACAGGCAGCTGCAGGGGAGGAGGGAAGGTCGATGTTTAGACGAGGAGAGAGAGAGAGAGAGAGAGAGAGAGAGAGAGAGAGAGACATACATCATCAGGGGATGGAGAGTGATTGTTCTGTTAAATATGAAACATTTTCTGTTTGGAGGCGTGTGCTCTGTTCTGGGAGCTGCTGAACAACAAACACAACAAAAGAAAATAGATATCCTGATATCCTTTAAGTCAGTGGCGGTAACTCACCAGGTGGTGTCGCCGGAGGCTGTCAGGATCTCCGAGTCGCTGAGGAAACGGGCGCAGGACAGATAACCTGAACACAAACAGTTTGAGTCATTAGGTCAGAACGTTTTCAGCCCTCTTGGAGGCATAATGGTTCTGGCGAGCGTGGTGCTCACCTGTGTGTGCGTCCAGCTCCCTGAGGGTCTTGGGGCTGGCGGCCTTGATGTTGTACACCGTGCACATGTTGTCCAGACCACCGCTGGCCACCAGGTTACCAGAGGGGGCGAAGGCGACGCTCATCACCCAGGCCGACTTTAGAGGCACGGCCACCAGCTGGAGACAAGAAAGCGTACAGTGTGAGTGTGAGATTTGATCAACATACGTCCCAAAAATCTGTTATTGAGAACTTTTGAAACCTCAGCCATGTTGACTTGATTCTGACGGCATGGAAATAAAGGTCAAACCATCACTGGACTCTAAACTCATCACTTAAAAACCAGGCTAAGCTAATTATTCCAGGATAAGACACTCCAGCAGGAAGGGCAAATTAAGTCAACCAATCACAGGCTCCGTTTAACTCCTTTAACTTCAAAGCAGATTAAAACCAAGAGAATCAAACTTGTCCAAAGTCCAAATAACAGCAGAAAAAAATCATTTTTACCAGGGGAAGAACTGCCATGGCAAGTGAAACTCTTTATTTGTGGAGCTCGCTGTGCAGACTAATGTGTGTTAAAGTCTAATTTCACATCAGTTAGAAGGAAACACATGAGTCAGCATGTCCTTTAACATTTGATCATCTGTGTGGAGCAGCAGGACACAGATTATCAAATGCTGCAGGAACCCCCCTGCTGACTCCTTGGTCTTTCCTGTAATTCATCCCCTCAAATTCACCAAAACACCCCCAATCACAGAACAACGTTCTTTCAAGTAGTTTATTTTACTCAGAGGTCAAAACTTTCTTCCCACCAAACAGAAACACATACAGGAGTTTTCTGATGACTACATATAAATATAAAAGTTACAAATAAAACATTTAGGGATAAACCGCCTGCGAAGCTTTGGCTCATGACGCCATATTCTGTAAAACCCACTTCTCCATGTTCCTCTAACTCTAATATGTGTCCCTAGTCTGTCTACAAACCCCCCAATGATGAGAAAAGTCCATCCCCTCCATCTTTTACCTGCTCCACTTTTTAGAAAATGTGTGCTCAAACAGGCTGTTTGGAGATTTTCCCTTCATGACATCACAAAGGGCAGTAGCCCCTCCCCCAGGTGTTCGGCCCTCTGAGTCTGCCTTCTCACCGTAAACAATAGGACATGGAGCGAGAAAGCCAGAGACACCCAAGCCCTTCTAGAGAGGGGGCATGGTCAGACACAGCTCATTTACATATTTAAAGGTACAGACACAGAAACAGCCTGTTCTGAGCAGGGCTGAAATAGAGGGGTTTATAGACATGATCAAATACAGGATCAGAGTGGATTTAGAACAAGAAACTTCACACACATGTTTTGAGGAGCTCTGACACTTGTTTACACTGAAGAAGAGGAGGATATGTGTCTTTAAATCGATGTAGTTAAAATCTTAACTTAATGGTTTGAAACCGTTTAATTGTCCTCAAAGAAGAAGAATGTGTGTTTAATTAGTTAAGATTTCTTAGTATCGTCTGATTGGATGAAGTTAGACTTAAAGTTAGTCACATGTTAGTTTTGTGTCGTGGCGCTGACGATGATCTCACCTTGTTTCCTGTGAAGGTGTCCCAGACCAGCAGCTTGCCGTCCTGTGATGCACTCACCATTGACCTGTGAGACGGAAATCAGAGACGCTCAGCTTCAAGAGGAAGTTAAAGTTCTATAAATATAAATCAAATACAGGAGTCCTGTTAGTATCCAACACCGTGTTAGAGATGTGCTTCAAGCACGCTTAATGTAACATGTGGAGTACCACAAGGATCTGTATTAGGACCTTTGTTATTTCTTATTTATATTAATGACTTCCCTTTAGCTTGCAAACTTTCTTCTCCTATTCTTTTTTGCTGATGATACCAACATGATCTTATCTCACAGTGACTTACACACCCTCATAAATCATACAAATGAAGAATTGGTGAGTGCTGCAAAATGGTTTAAACTTAATAAGCTTTCATTAAATAGTAAAAAGTCAAATTTCATCATATTCACAGGTAAAGGAAGTAGGTATCAGAAGGATTATGCTAAAGTTTCAAGAGATAGAAATGAAATTTCTCAAGTGTCACAAACTCAATTCTTAGGAATCCTTGTGGATGAGAAGTTAAATTGGAAAAATCATATTCAATTTACTCAGAAAAAAATTGTGAAGTCCTTGGGGATCATCAGCAAACTTTGTAGTTTTATTAATTTATCTTGTACGTTAACTCTATATTACTCTATGATTTATCCGTATTTGATTTATGGTAATATTGTCTGGGCAAACACTTATCCCTCTCACCTTCTTAAACTTTATGTGTTGCAGAAACGTTTTGTAAGATTGGCAACTTTCTCCAAAGCAACAGAAACATCTGCCCCCCTCTTCAAAAAACTAAACATTCTTTCAGTTTATGATATCAATATACATCAGATATGTGTGTTTATATATAAATATATGTTACCTTTTTCTTTACCATCATCATTTCAGCATTTTTTTAAACTGAATTCCCAGATTCATTCATATTCTACCAGACAGATTGATCATCTCCATCTTCCTTTTTATAAAACCAAACACGATCAGTTTTCCATCAGATATCGTGGGGTACACATATGGAATTCCAAAAGACACGTTGTTAACGACTCTTCGTCTACAGAGATTTTTAAAAGGAAACTGTCTTCATATTTAATCCATGAGGTCAAACTTTTGCATATATAAAATATATATCTTTTCTTTTTCTATCAACTCACTCATTCACTCCATTTTTAATAGATCAATGCCTGTTTCATTTAGCTGATAGAGGGTTAACATTCTCAGTCTTTCTATTGTATGTATGTGTCCAAGTGTGTGTATGAATACGTGTATAGGTTACTGTATATGTGTTTATATTTAATTTTGTTTTGAAATTGTGTAATTCAATTTATTTAGTTGATTTATTTGTCTCTTAAGAGATGAGGTTCCTTGTATAAGCCGGTTGGCTTCTTGACCTCTCCTGACACATCGTTTATGTTTTTGTTCATCCTATTTTTGATGTATTCTTATATGTGTGCTAATAAATAAATAAAATAAAATAAAATGTGACAGAAGAGCTGCAGTGACACTGAAACAACACCAAAGGGCGGTGTTTTATCTGCTCAGTATGCAGACAGTTTTATTTATTTTAATTAAGGACAGCCAGCGAGCTAACGGGATGCTAACGTTAGCTGCAGCTAACAGGTTACAAGCGTCCAGTTGTGTCTCCAGAGTTTCAGTTTCATCGTCTGTGAAATTTCTCCTCAATCAGGACGCTTTGAAAACAGAAAACAGTCGCTGATGTTTGTGACCTTGACGTGACTTCAACCTGGAGCATCACAGGAAGACACGACGACAACACCCCGAGCGTGACATCATGACAAAATGGCCGCTGTGGGAATATGGTCTGTATAGGTTTAATTTCTTTACATGAAATGTGTGTGTGTATCACTAAATCAAAAGTGCAAGTTACTAAAAACGAGTACTCAGAAAAGAAAGTGAGCAAGTTTAAAAAAAAAAAAAAGAATGTGTCTGTACTTCCTGTCTTTCAATTCTAGACAGTAGCGAATGAAAACACGACAATGACCCCCGAGCGTGATGTCACAGCAACATGGCCGCTGTGAGAATATGGTCTGTTTAAGTGTCCATGTCCCCTCCCGGCCTCCGTACTTCCATTTTAGACTGTAGCATAACGACAAAGGCTACTTAGTTAGCCCGTTAGCTTGCCCATTCATAAACCTGAACCGTAAAACTTCAAATATAAGCTCATCAACATTTACAGCCCGGCCCCTTTTACTCGCCAGACGTCGCCACACGTTAAAGGAACGCTCTCAGTCTGAGGCCGCCGTGCGTTTACTGATGATAACAGATCAAAAATATAAGAACAGGGTTTCCCACTCTCCCCTTCTTCATGATGTGCACACTGAAATATTCTCTCTGCTGTAACTTTAAAGTTTTATAATCTTCCCCGTCTTTGTTGTGCACGAGTTTAGATTGAAGATAATGAAAGTGGCGTGTCGTATCGACGCCTCAAACTGACGCCGGGTCGTTTTATAGAGTGAAGGAAATAAAAAGTTGGGCTTCTAAGTGTTACGGTAATACGGATATTTCACAGCAGGCATTAAAATGAAGCTGAAATACTGGCTGAAGTTTTAGACATCAAGCTCAACTTTAACCCCGTCACGGCGTTATTATTATCTGTGACCGTGGCGTCCACACAACCACCGCCGTCCTCCTTCATGCACGGCTCGCTCCGACCGCCACCTCAGTGACAACAGGAAGTGTGGACAGCTGGAACGCCAGGAATACAATCCTTCCTGACAACTGGACAATCATCTCTTAAACCGTGATTTGCTGCAGCGTGTTAAGCCCCGCCCCCTCCTCCTCTCACCTGGAGTCAGTAGACCAGTGCATGGAGTAGATTTTAGCCAGGTGACCCTTGAGTGTCTTCCTGAGCTTCAGCTGGACCCGGCCCACAGCGGCCACGCCCCCTGCTGCTCCTGACATGCTGCTGTCGTTCACAGCCTTACGGGCCGCCTGGTGGTCACACGGAGGAATGACATGTTGGAGAAAGAACAGAGGAGAGAGAGAGGAGGAGTCAGAAAGATGGACTGCTGGTTGAAGATGTGAGCAGGTGACTCTGGAGAACACCTCAGAGTTCAGTGAGCAGCTTTAATGAGGTCAGAGTAAAAAGGTGCTGGTCATGAACCCTGACAGGTGAGACGGTAAAGGTCTGATGAAGAGGCTCAGGTGACTTTGATGATATCAGAAAACAAATCTTTGATCTCAGACGGTCATCAGTTGAATATTCTAAGTTATTATTCTGGCCTCTTATTGGAAGTGAAGTGAGAAGAAAGAGCGAGGGATGACATGCAGCAAAGGGCCGAGGTCGGATTCCAACCCATAACCTCTGTACATGGGGCATGTGACCTAACCGCTTGGCTATCAGCGCTCAGTTATTTTCCTTCTCAAACTGAAGGATCGATGCTTTCTTTTAGTTGAACTTAAAGATGTCTCTTCCGCCTCCTTCTGGATCTCAGATAAAAATGTTTTGATTGAAAGTAAAAACACTCTGAGCGCCCACACGGTGAGAGGAAGATACCTCCTGCTCAGTTCATGAACACCTGTCAGGTGTAACTGTCTGAAAACATCACAAAGTGTTTCTACTGAATTCTATGAAGGCTTTTGAACAAAGGAGACGACAGAGCGGGTCGATGATTGTCTCTGATCAGTACCGAGCAGCTCTTTTCTACTTTGAGTCGTGTTCCTGGATTTTGAAGGACAGTTTGGATTTGTTCTGATCTCGATAACCTGCATGATGTACTCACCTCGATCTGTGTACGAAGGCCATCGCACTCCTTTTTCAGTGCATCCATTTCAGCTTTCTCAGCTGCCATGGTGACGGTTGCTGGGGGATGTTAGTGACTGTGAAGGAAACTGTCAATCTGAAAAAGACAGAGAAGAAGAGTTGGGTCAGTTCTACAGAGACTGAGAAGAAGAGAAGAAGAGTTGGGTCAGTTCTACAGAGACTGAGAAGAAGAGAAGAAGAGTTGGGTCAGTTCTACAGAGACTGAGAAGAAGAGAAGAAGAGTTGAGTATTCTGGAGATTAAAGGATCATCTATGTATTGGGTGAAGCGTTGACATGTCAGTGCAACAGCTGGAGAAGTGATTGAGGTTCTCTTGAGAACTCAATGGGCTCAGTTTGTTTGTTGTTGATCCTCCATAAAGAACCTGGAGTCCAGGTCCACAGAGATCCAGAGGCTGATCTGGACCGCTTGTCTCGAGCAAAGATTAGACACATACCTGACCCGAGGTTTAATCCCTCTCTAAACCAAAGTTGTAATTCTGTTAGCTGCCATACTGGATCAATTATGATGTAAAGGAAGGCAGAGACGAGGAGGAGGGCGAGGACGACACGGAGGACAGGGTGAGGAGGCTGAGGGGCGGGGCGGGTGCAAAGGTTTCACCATTAAAACAAAGAGTGTGAGAGCTGCAGGGCTGGGAGTGGAAAGAGGACAGACAGAAAGGAGGCAAGGAGTTAAAGGAAAGGAGGTGAGGAAGCAAAGGAGTGTCTGACCTCGTTTTAAACTCTAAAAACACAACAGAGGATGTGTGACCCTCTGAAGGTCAAAGGTGAGATTTCATGTTTTAAATGGGGGGACAGCTTTGTGCAGTGAGTGTACAAAGTGCAGAGTAACGGGGAGGTCGTCGGTGTTAGAAGTCATGTGTGTGTTGCATCACAATGTCCCCCCCCCAGGACTCATGGTGAGGACAACAACGACTGTTTGTTTTTTCTGTCTCCACTCTGAGGACAGAACTGGTCTCTCAGGGTCAGTCTGCAGACTGAACAGAGAGCGTGACACTTTATGAAACAAGCTGCACATTCATCAGTTTTTAAAATGATCCTCTACCTGAGCGCCTCCTTCACTTCATCGTCTCAGGATCCCTGCGTGCTGAAGCTCCCTGTCTGTGTCTAAGTCTCTGTAATAGGATGCTGACGTCTCGCTAATTTGATGCTAACTTCCTCCTCTCCCTTCTTTAGCATCTTTAGCATCTTTAGCATGTGACACTTCCCTCGACCTGCACAGAGGAATGAAATGTTGATGCTTCAGAAGAAGGCTTTGATATCCTCAGATTTCAACTAAAGAAGACATCTTGATGGGTTGAGAGGAACGTATAACAATCGTTCCTGTAATCAGAAACTTCACACACATTTTTATAAACGGCTGTTCTCCACAGTTTGACCTCCGTCTCTTTCCCTTCCTGCAGCTTCTTGAGTTTGCAGAGATCCTGATAAACTGCATGGAAAGTCATTGATTGTCCTGCAGAGGTGAAGGGTCAGGGTGAGGCCTACATGCAGCTTGAACCCCCGACAGGATGCAGGGTGGGTGACATTGGGAGGGGCGATGGCGGCGTTAGAGGGGCTTAAAATCCCCGGCAGGAGATCTTAAAGGAAGCTTTACCGGTCAAATCTCCTGTCATCCGATTACTGACTGCTCTTTACCTAGGGATCAGAGACGGGGGGGGTGGGAGGGGGGGGGAGGTGTGGATGTGGAGGGTCTGTTTCAGTCAAACGTCAGCAGCTCCTCCTCCGCTCTGTTCTCTCCTTATGACTGAAATAATGCTGCATAAGTCCTCCAACACTTTATCGTATCTGATCAACTGAAGACAAAGACAACGTTCATAAAACGTTCTTAAGAACTCGACATGCTGCAGTCTGCAGGGGCGGAGCTGCAACATCTGAGTCCTGAACCAGAGCCCCCTCTCTGTGGGCTCCCTCCTGCAGACACCATCTTTAGGGGCCTTGTATATTAAGTCTCCCCTCAGACCTCCGCCCTGCCTGGATGATGAGGTCTTCAGTGATGATCAGGCTGCAGCTTACTGCGGCCTCACCTGAGGCACCAATCCTCTTTGGCAGCTTCCCCACAATCCAAAGATCACCTTCAAAGGGTTTAAGGAATCATCACACTGAATGCTCTATCGTTACTCTACAAGAAAACTCATGGACGCCTCAAAATGCAATTCAACAAAAAGGACGCTTCTTCAGTGTAAAAAAGTTGTTTGCATGAAAAATGAAGGTAGAATTAAAAAAAAAAAAAACAGATTTTAAACTTTGGAGGAGAGCTCGTGTTTCGCTTAAATTCCTGCAAATGTTTAAATTCAAGCCGCGTGAGCATATCCTCCTAAATGTACACACTTCTAATCACTTCACTTTGTTGTATATTGAAGGAAAATGTCCACTCTGTTTTAAACTCCTCAAAAAGAAAAAAAAACTCTCCTTCATTTTGAAGAAGTTTGACAAAGTTAGATGATGCAGCGTCATGAAGTGTGCTTCAGAAGAAGAATCACCTGGAGAGAGTTCAACAGTTAGATCATAAAACACTCACTTTCTTCCACAGACGTGTGGTCCCTGCTCTTCTCCTGCACCTGTGCACCTCCTGCTTCCAGATACCTCTCGGCTCTGCGTTTCCCTTTGAGCTTTTTTAGATTCCACAATCCTCGAGCGCACGACCTGCTCGCTGGCTCCTCCGACGCTCTCCCCCGGCAGACTGCTAGCAGCTTTACTTGTGAAAAACTCTCTCTTTCTCTCTCCCTTCCTCCACAGTGAAGAACAGATGAGGATTGGAGGGGATGAAGGAGATAAGGGATGAAGGGATAAAGCTCAAAGATGGAAATAGAGAGGGAAGGAGCAGGAGAGAGAGAGAGAGAGAGAGAGAGAGAGAGAGAGAGAGAGAGAGAGACTGGGAGAGGGAGCAGGGCGAGAGGCGGTAGGTAAACCGATTGGTCAGAGAAAATCAGGTTATGAGGTCAAAAGACAAGAGCAGGTGAAGACATGAAAAGAACAAGGCGATAGGAGAAAGGCAACAGGTGGAGATGAAATGTGAGAATATGAGAGAGAAGACGAGGCCGGCCGAGAAGAAATACACACAACACACAAACTGAGTCAAAGAGCAAAGAGTGCATCATCCTCCACAAGAAGCACATGGAGGTGTTTCAGGTGCACTTCATGACTTTCATTCTTTTTGTGTTTCCTTCTCAAAATCAAACGTCCCCCTGCTGGACAAGAAGGAGTACCGCACTCTAGGCATTATAGTGATTTTTTTTTTAATGTGAGGATGCAGGAGTGCGGTACACGGTCTGGAGGTTGACACGGGCGAAGTGGTTTGTCAGAGCTAATGAGCTGAGCCCGGGTAATCAGGGTCTAATGGGATATCCGGGGAACGGGCAATCTCGTTAGGGAATTAGAGCAGGTCAGGCGAAACGTGCGTCACACCTGACACACAGCAAGAGCGAAGACGAACAGTGGATCAAGAGTCAAACGCAGAGTTAAGAAGCAGAGTGAGAAACATGGAGGCTGGATGGTCAGAGTTTGAAACTCTAAAACAGACGGAGTGAGACTTTTGAAAAGACTTTCAGAAAAAGGTAAATGAAAGGTAGAGGATGCCGACAGAGAAACAGACAGGAGGGAGCTTTGTGGTCGAATCATGTTAGGAAGGAGAGCAGCTATTGGTCTCCAGTCAAGATTACGGCCTTAGCTCCGCCCCTTTCACATCCTGTAATCTGATTTGTGGCTGGTTTTTTTTCCCTCGAGGGAAAAGTGAGAACTTTGCATGTGTCATAATCTGACGAAGGAGAAGTTAATGTGATCTTTAATTTCACTGGGGGAGGGGAGGGGGAGGGGGGGGGGGACGGGGGGGGGCGGGGGGCAGCAGAGTCCTGGAGTCCTTGAATTCTCAGTCCTGGAGTCCTGGGGCAGGTTTAGATTCAAGGTCTAATTCAAGGACATTTATTTCCTAATGGGGGGTGGGTTAAGGATAAACCACGCCCCCTCTGATGTCACCAGGAATCATTTCTTTATGAAAGCTCCTCTGAGGGACTTTTGGTTTGGGTGGATTTTGGCGCCCCCTGCGGACGAGGCAGAGTTCATGTATGATACGTTTAGCTAGCTAGCTTTAGCTTGACGGTCATATGAAAGTTACAGACGAGGTGAAGGTGAAGCAAAGGAGGCGGAGCTCTTCAGCTCTGTGTTTGTGAACGTCCTCCTTCATCGCCCTCGGCCAACAGAAGAGCTTTTTACGAGAAAACAAAAATCATCAGCTGTCATGTTAATTGTCTCACGCTGTCCGCGGCGTGCCAGCTGGCCGTTTGTCTTCTTAAGACGTTCAAACACTTGAGGGGAATGTTTACCTCTAGACTCCACCGCCTGGTTACTACTCTGCAGCTCTAAGCCTCGTCCTCATTGGTTTGATAGCCAGCCAGTCCATCATTTGCCCCGGTGCATCATGGGAGCGCATTGAGATCATCGGTGATGTTTGATGGCCTTCTCTAATGAGGACTTTCAGATTAAGCCTCACCTCAGGGACGCGTCTTTTTTTAGCGGTGTTATGGAGCGCCGCATCAAAACACAGCGGTGTGATGGAGCGTCGCATCAAAACACAGCGGTGTGATGGAGCGTCGCATCAAAACACAGCGGTGTGATGGAGCGTCGCATCAAAACACAGCGGTGTTATGGAGCGCCGCATCAAAACACAGCGGTGTGATGGAGCGTCGCATCAAAACACAGCGGTGTGATGGAGCGTCGCATCAAAACACAGCGGTGTGATGGAGCGCCGCATCAAAACACAACGGTGTGATGGAGCGCCGCATCAAAACACAACGGTGTGATGGAGCGTCGCATCAAAACACAGCGGTGTGATGGAGCGCCGCATCAAAACACAACGGTGTGATGGAGCGCCGCATCAAAACACAGCGGTGTGATGGAGCGCCGCATCAAAACACAGCGGTGTTATGGAGCGCCGCATCAAAACACAACGGTGTGATGGAGCGCCGCATCAAAACACAGAGGTGTGATGTCAGCAGGGTCGCTCTCATATGCTAAAGCAAAACGTTCAAAACCACCGGCAGAACTTATATTTATATTTGTAGTAACTCTTTGCAGCACACAAGAGTTTTTAGGAAAACTTACTTCGATTTGAGTTCATGATGCTGAAGTGTAAAATCATGCAGTTCCTGGAGTGTCCACTAGAGGCTGGCTGTAGAAGCACAGGAAGTCACATACACACCCATTCTAAAAAGCCTGTTTTTACAGCAGAGATGAACATGTTTACAGCCTGGTTCAAAAAACCAAATAGGTGTGATTAGCTCATGTCTGGATGGACACACACTGTACGGGGGGTGAATGTTTTGATGACTCATCAGTTTTGATTTGATGAAGGATAAGAGTTATTCACAATAAGGCGTGTAGCTGACCTGATTGACAGGTGGGCGTGGTGTATATATATGTCTGTGAGGGTCTCTGGGTCATGAACGTTTAACCGTTGATTCTCTGATGTGTCTTTATCACACGCTGTTGGTTTGTGTGTCGACCTGTAATCCTAATGAGCTGTGACAGAAGAGGACGAGCTGCAGTAACGAGCTCAAGACAGACGCAGGAGTACAAACCCAACAACCTCCTCCTCCTCTTCCTCCTCCTCTTCTTCTTCCTCCTCTTCCTGCTCTTCCTCCTCTTCCTCCTCTTCTTTCTCCTCTTCCTCTTCCTCCTCCTCCTCTTCTTCCTCCTCTCTCTCTCCTCCTCCTCCTCCTCTTCTTCCTCCTCTCTCTCTCCTCCTCCTCTTCCTCCTCTTCTTCTCCTCTCCTCTCCTCCTCCTCTTCCTCCTCTTCCTCCTCTTCCTCCTCTTCTTTCTCCTCTTCCTCTTCCTCCTCCTCCTCTTCTTCCTCCTCTCTCTCTCCTCCTCCTCCTCCTCTTCTTCCTCCTCTCTTCCTCCTCCTCCTCCTCTTCTTCCTCCTCTTCCTCCTCTTCTTCTC